GTCAACGGAGACGGAGTGCCACATTATTAAAAAAAAAAAAAAAAAAAAAGAGTGTCAAGTTGTCAACGGAGACAAGGAAAGATTGGCTCAACTGATTTCCAAAGGGTTTTCCAAGCACATTTGGTCCTCTGCAGTGGGGTCCCCGCAAAACTGCTTTCCAGCTTTCCAAAATTCTTTGCCCGTTTTTTTTGGCCGGCCGCTTTTTCCCTCCTTTTTCCAGTGGGGTCCAAGCCAAAGACATAAGTAGGTTATAAGTAGGTTCTCACACTGCGGCTCTCAGACTGTCCTCCCATGAGGAGGTAATGATGGCTCAACGACCGTAGAACAAGCTTCCCCCCCGTTCTAATCGGATGCAGCCGATTTAATATCCATTTTTGTAACAGGAAACATAAAAGAGAATACTTTACTTTCCCTGAGTTCCCACAGGAACCACAAAAGAAAATACTTTCCGGGAATTCCCACAGAAACCACCCATGGATGCACAGAAGCAGCTGAGATAGGACCTCACTCCACTGCTCTAGACTCCCGAAGTTTTTGAGAGTAACGCCTCGCTCCACTTACTCTAGACTGGAACTCATGACAACACCCTTCGAGAGCTGTCAGAAAGCGCTCTCGAAGGGCACTCTCGATTTGTTCACAGCCTGCAATGCTCAGGTTTTCTAGCGTCCTCCCTCCTACCCCCGCTCCGCCCTCTTTTTTCACGAGTGTGCCTCCTGCCCCGACCATCAGAACGAGCTGGCGCTGTCATCTAGCGCTGTAGAAGGGCTATCATGTAGCGCTGAGAAATTTGTGAGTGCTTCTATAGATCTCGAGTCTGGAGTAATGGAGTGATGCTTCTTTTTTCAAGAGTTCTAGACCTCTGACAGCTCAAGAAGCACTCACGGATTTTTTTGTGAGTCTATCTGCTGAACGATTTCGGATGGTGGGACACCACTCCACTTACTATCCGAAATGTACCTTCGGAAACCACCATATAGTTGTCAGACGGCGCCCTCCAGATTCCACCATTCGATCCCGTACAGTTCCCAGCCTACAAAAGTTGTTATTTGGAAGGTGGTCGAAGGAGGCCGCCGTTCGAACGTGGAATCAGATAGCCCGCCCAGAGTCTGGGCGGACAAATTGCTGTCCTGTAGTGTGAAGCGACGCCAGTATCCAGCGGCCTAGCTCAGTTGGTAAGACACTCAAGTGGCTTTCAGGAGGTCTTGGGTTCAATTCCCATTGGCCTCATGTACCTTCCTGGGCAAGCGTGGCGCCCGCCACCTAGAGATATGCCGTTGGTCCCCCCACCTGGCATTGAGCCGAGACTGCTGATGTTTATAGGGGGAGGGGACTGGAGGGGAGGCACAGTGACCGGCCCATGATCGAAGAAAATCGGTCCTGATGCTACCAGCTGACGCCTGGCCGGAATCGCCCACCTGCTGTAGAGGTATCGCACCTGCTGGTGGGTGCAGCTCCCGCATGTTCCCTCGTTGGAGGCTTGAGCACAAATGTGGCTGCTAAGGGTTCCCCGTAATACTATAATGACAATAACACAGGGCTGAAAGGCAGTCCTGTCAAGATTCAACCGGTAATTGAATTGGTTGGGCTTAAAGAATTAGCCTTTTTTTTTTTTTTGCTTAACGAAAAAAGAAAAAAGAAAAAATGTGTACAGCAGATAGTAGTGGAGCGAGACCCATAGTAGCGGTCACACAAAGTCACACCGTATGTGGGACATGGCCCCGAGTAGTTCTGTTTGACAAGACTCGTTGAGACATTGGTCACCTGACTCACTCGTTGGGACTGCAGCACTGCCCAAACTCAGGGAATACTCACACGAGGACCTTTCCCTACCAAGCTCTGGACGAGATTGCGGTCAGATTCATACACGTACGGCCGTAATTGCGCTCAGATACATTCAGGAAAGTGCTACTAGTAGTACGAGTATGCCCTCAGGAAAGAAAAAAAGACAAGAAACGGGTTTATAGTACTTTATACATACACATCGACGTCCCTATGAATCCGTAAAACACGGACGAAACAGTCTGTCACAGCTCATCGTTTGCTGTCCTCTTTTTTTTTTTTTTTTTTTCAATGATGTCCTCTTCTCCCTCTCTGAGAAGGTTTAGCGCGCGAAAGGTGAGAAGGTGATGATTGCTTACCCCCAAATCATGCACGTTGGTAAGACGGGATGAAAAAGGTGGGAAAACAAAAGCGCACGAAAGGAAAGCAAACCCGAATCATGAACGCGTTGGTAAGACAGCGGATGAAAAAGGCCGGAAAAAAAAAACAAAAAGCGTGCGAAAGATAAGAGCGTGGCGATTGCCTTACCCCAATCATGCAAGCGTTGGTAACTCAACAGATGAGAAAGGCGGGAAAAAAAAAGAAAAAAGCGCGCGAAAGGTGAGAAAATGATGATTCCCTAACCAAAATAATGCACGCGTTGGTACGTCAGCAAAGGCAAGGTCCCACTTGCACGGATTACGAGAATCTGGCCGTTGATCTTTGCTATCTACGGTCAATATCGCTTAATTCGTGTAAGTGGGACCTAGCACCGGATGAAAAGGCGAGAAACGGAAAAAGCAAAGCGCGCAAAAGGTAAAAGGGTGGCGATTGTTTTCGGGATACGGCAAATTGGCTAGACAGTGGGTTGGCAATCGTGTCAGGGGTGCTGGACGTCTGCTCTCGGATCCTCGCCAAGGCAAGGAATGTGAAGGAGGCGACATGCAAGAGGAGGGTGAAAGAAGCAGCAGAGAAGATGGAAGGTCACCCCATCTCAACAATGGTGTGGGCGGCAGAGAGGGAAAGGAGGTTAGAAGAGTGGGACAAGTTACAGCAGGAAAAACATAAAAGGTGGTCGGAGCTGCTTAAGGAGAAAGGGATTGAGACCCATGATCAGGTGACCAGAGAAACCTTCCAGAAGTTGCAACCTCAGCGTGCACACCAACAGACGGTGGAACTCCGCCATCCCTTTGACGACTCGGCACCTAATGCATCCACGGCTGCCGGAATGTTGCACTACCAGTGAATCTCCCTCGGCGGCGGCCTTCCGCGGCCGATTCCGCGGACGCGGCCAGTCTGCTGACCCCGCGGACGCGCGGCTTTGAAGCCACGTGGCGGTCGCGCGGGAGGGACTTTCGAAAAACGGGAGACGCCATGTGGCGGCGCATCCCCGGCCTCACCCCCCCACACAAAAAAAAAACGAAAAAGATCAAGTTTTGGAGGGGGGGGTATGGGCGAAATCGAAAGAAAT